AGCCCCGTGAAGCTCAGCGAGTGCGTCGCGAGAAATTGATGAGGTTTTTATGCTCTATGTTTGTAAAAAAGGCTGCCCTCTCATTTCCATTCAGGGCCTAGAGAGGGAGGGGGGGGGGGGGGTGTCCACGGAGTGAGGCTCGAGCGCTCAAACTGACTAATTGTCGCTGTTAACAGACCGCTTCGTCTATCCATCAGAACAAAATGGAGCGAGCTAGAATTCGTATTGAAAAGCTAAAAAATGTGAGGGTTCGCTTTCTTTCCGATTAAAGAAAGACCCGAGAAGTGCAAGAGGCCGGACCGGCGCGGACGCATTGTAAACATGTGTGTTTGCGACTTATTTGTGTAATTTAACTTAGCTCCTAGTCCTAAAACAGTCCGAAATTTTAATAGATCCGTACAATGAAAATGTCTATAGACATATATCTTCTGCTGCACTGTAAAAAATGTTCGGATTTTTGCCATACAAGTGTCTAGGAAAAATCCCATACGTGTGTGGGACGTGAAATTTCCTACACATGTGTAGGATTTTTCCTATACACGAATAGGGATCCATGGATGTGGATGCACTCCATGGAACTAATAATATCTTCACTCGTACGTTAATTCTGAAATGTGCCCTTAAACAAGGTGCTTTGTGAACTTTGTGAGGGAAGTCGCTTGTAGAACATTATTTCACGTAAGATGGAGGTTGGTTGGTGGTTTAGTCATGAAGGTAAAAATGTGAAACTGAAACAGCCGAATGAAAACGGGTGATATTATTAATTTCACCTTGACGCATGCGTGTACGACGAGTGCCTAGCTGCGCGCGCGCGCGCACGCACACGATTACATGGACGCACACACGAACTCGGACAGTGACGGCGGTCATCCGTCAAGACACGTGCCACCCCCTCGCCCTCGAGCCGCACAGCCCACCTCCCCCTCACATACCGAGCAAATTTTAACATTTCTCATTTATTTTTCCGTTATTGATGATGGTTTCGTCATGTTGTTTGAAGGACCTTCTAGCCATTTTCGTTTCGTAGGGGTATGAAAACAAACCCCCTTTGAAGAAAAAGATGGAGTTTGTAGGGCCAGCATAAAATTCACACGATTTTACTATTTTCTTTAAGGTGCATAGTGCGTGAGAACATCCTACATCCGCGTGCGCGCGTGAATGCGTGGTGTGTGTGTGTGTGTGTGTGTGTGAGTGTGTGTGTGTGTGTGTGTGTGTGTGTGTGTGTGTGTGGTCGCACCCGCGAGGTGAGGGCCTTAGTTCGTAAGCCGTACACCACTATAGCATGTGGAGCCGGGCCAGTCCAGTTGCGGACCACCAGGCGAGCGGGCGAGCGCACGCGGCGCGCACACCACGCCAACACGAACACACACGCTCGCGCACACACACACACATGCGTAAGTACACGCACGACGTCGGTCCACACCCACACACAGAAGGTGCCCATGAAGTCATAGCGGCTCAGTCTTTGGAGAGGATCTTGGCGCAACTCTATTGGGACGAAAAATGTTTTAAAGGGAGATTGATTATCCCTTACGCAATATTTCTTACACAATATGCGTTCAGTACGGCGCAAAAGCTTCACTTCAACTTCGACAAACAGGGTTTCAACGACAACCTCCCGCAAAGTCACCCACTTCCTTTGAGGCGCTGTAAACACGGTGGCACTGCGCTTACAAGTGACTGGTGGAATTAGTGGGAGTGCTGGCCGGCCGGGGGCCGCACTATCCGAGAGGACCCCGCGGCGGCGTATCAAAGGCCTGCGCCTGCGCCCCTGCGCCCCACCCCGCTGGCCACGGGTCCCATGCCGTCGCACAGTCGGGCCAGCAGCAGCTTAACATGGAATTAAACGTCGGTGTGCGGCGCGAGCTGGGCCGCGCGTCGCCCGGGTAATTTATGGAATATTTTTATCCGTCCTAATCCGTCATGGGGTTAGTCTCCACGAGGCTGCGGGCTGATTGGGCCGAGGCTAAGTGAATGTGTGAGTAAAGGTGAGTTTAATCAGGAGCAACCAGCCAAAAGCCAGGCTCTCACCGCCAGTATGCAACTCGCTAATACATTTTTTGTGGAGGGGGGGGGGGGACAAGCTCGGCTTCCTAAACACAGTACATTTTGTGGTTGAACAAACGATATCGCTGGAATATCATTGTGATATTATGGCAGTCTTCATTTCACGGTCTCGTTGCCAATACAACACTAAATCTTGTTGACGGACGTTGTGGTGTAGGATAAGATTTATAAGATTTGAAAAGCCGAATAGGCGGCTGCACACAGAGTCCCCCGCGAGCCGCGGCCGCCGATTGGAGACGCCGTGACGAATGGGAACCGCCGCGTCCGGAGGACTGTCCGCGCGTAGCGGCGCTCTAATCTTAAACGAAGCTGACACGCGGAGCTAATACGGAAGCGCACTGATAGAATTAAAGAAGGCGCCGAAGGGAAAAGGGGGGGGGGGGGCGCTACCAGCAGACGGACCGGAGAGGAATTTATCCCACAAGGCGACGATTAAAGCTACACCGGATTCCTTCCATCGGCCGTCGTGGGGGGAAGGGGCATACCTCTCCCCTCGTTCTCGCCTAGTTAGTGAGATTGGGAGCGTGTGAGGTAAGGAAATGTGAGTGTGTGTGTGTGTCTGTGTGGTAGGGCAGGGACGGGAGGGGGGTGTTAACCAGCCCGTCGTCGACCCCCGGTGCCCTGATGACCCGGCCCTCGCCAGCAGAGCCCTCTGACGGGCCAATCCCACACCAAACAATTATTTACTCGGCCTCGTTGGGGTTCGGGACAAATCGCTGCTCCTTTTCAGAGCGGGCCCTGCCCCGGCCCTGCCCCGGGCCCGCCCCGGAGTCCCCGGAGGGGTTACGTTGGGGCCGCGTTAGAGCTTTCGTCTCGCGCGGCTGCAGCACCTGTGGCGAATTATTTCACGCGGCTCATTCTGGACGAGTCACTCTTTGCTGTGAAATTAATGAAAGTCGTCCGGCGGATGGCACCTCCCTAACGAGACCCCCTCCGGGAGGGCGCCACCCAGGAGGCCCGGCAAGAGGCCCGGCAGCGCCTATGCAAGCGGAAAAGTTTCAATTTTTTGCAGGGCCTGGCGCTCTGTGCGACGGGCTATAAAGGAGGATATGCTGACCCGCGCTGCAGACTATCGGCGCTACGGAGTCCAGCTTGCGCGGTTTCGAGCACATTAATAACATTTGGCACCTCGCCGCTCCTCCCTGCCGGCCGTCTCAATCGTGCAGTGCGATCTCCCTTCACCATCTCTGTGCGCCGTGCCGTGCCTCGCCTCCGTCCAGCGCGTGGGCTGTCCCCCCGCGTGTGATTCTCAATCTTGTCCTGTCATGTCCCATGTGTCCCCCATGTAAATATCATCCCGGGCGCCAATGGAGACAGATGACTCGTCGAATAGTCCCGAGTTAAAAAAAAATATGTACGTACGGGGCTTACTGCATTAGTGCTGTTTGATTAACTCTCGTGGAAAAAAATATTTCGGTGACTCTCAACTATACTACCCGAATTCGATTTTTATTGGGTTAAGTTTGTCTGATTGGGTGGTTTGTTTTGCAAGTGGAGTGCACGCTGTAATCACTGATGTGTCTGGTGTGTGTGGGAACCACTGCTCGTCGCGTCGCCCGCGGCCAACAGGCCATGGCACGGGCCCCACAGGGGACCAGAGGGCACCATACAGCATGCAGCTTGCTTTATGGACGATATCCGCCCTGCACGGTCGGAACGTGTAATTTCGGCGAGGAGCAAAAATAATCACGAGAAATATAATGTTAACCGCATTCTTCACGCAGCTTCTGGGCCAGTCCCTTTTAATGCCCATCCTGTTACTGTCTCGCTCTCGCTTATCGCCTCGGTATGCTTTCCCTGCTGGATTCAATATGCTTTCTGGACTTCCCTCAATCGCTCTTTTATTGTGGCCACAGATATGTGACGGATACCGAACAGCACCTCTGTGAGCCCGTCGCACCTACCTTACCACGGGTGACTCACCGGCAGGCTATGGGAGGCTCACCCCAACCCCAACGCGTGTCCAGATCAGTCTCTTATCCGCGCCCCGGGGGACGTAGGTGACACGGCTCCCCCATCCCGGCCCTGCTGGGGCATGTGTAGTACTTCTTCTATGAGACCTGCATAATCCCTGAGGTGCCAACCCCACTGAGCGCAGGCCACGCCAGGAGTGACTCGGCAGATAAATCGTTCACACCATCACGCATGACAAAAGTGAGGCACTATGAACAAGTGATTTCTTGAAACGGTTATTCCTGTGTGGTGTTCTCGTATTTAATAGAAAATGAGGTTCCAAAATTAGGTCGCTTGACAGCCTCTCCCTCATTTGCGAGATAAACGTTCAGGATATGATTTTATCAGCTGCCAAACCAGTGCTGCGTGCGTACCTTACACTACGAATGTGAGGTACTCGACATAACAGAACACTTTTTTTAAGTGTAAGTTTTGCTATGGATTTTAAAATTAGACCAATATTAATCGTCGAAACATTGTGTGGAAAAGTTGAACAAAGTAAAATAAATCCATTTATTTCTTATTTGCAAAAGGCTACAAGGAAAAGTTAAAAGCGAGTTAAAAGTCATAACTTGAACTCTTCAAATAACGTCAAATTCATTTCTAGTGATAAGGAACCACCTTAGGAAAAACACGGTCGTCATCGATCTGGGATGATGATGATGATTCTAGGACAAATCTGGAGCTGCAGAAGAACATCATCGCTCACTCCACAGCAGGCCGGAGGTGGCGGTCCATCGGATCGACAAACACCGCGGCGCTTCTTGCTGACCTCAGCTCAGCCCAACACGTGTCCGCCTCGTGTATCATCGCACCGCGGCCTCATTAATCAGCCGTCCTCTGCTGATGACGATCTGCCGATACGACTCTCACACACGTTCTAACATCATACTGCAGTAGTGTCCTCTGTATTTTGACTGTTTGATGCTGCTGTGTGCCGCGCTGCTCGTTGTAATGCCCGCCGTTCTGTTCTCTTCCAGCCGCGCGACACAGCAGCCCCTCGTGCGCTCCAGTCCAAGGTGGGCCTGGATACCCGCCGCAGCGCCGCGTGCTGCGAGCCCCGCTGCTCCTGCAAAGTTAAGTAAGTACGGGTGTATTTTGTTGCAGTCGGTGGCGTTAAAGTGGGGCTTTAGCGAGCATTGCGTGGCTGCCTGGAATGAGCCCCCCCTGCTCGCACACACGTTCGTGCGCGCGCACGCCCCGCAGCGCCCCCACTCCGCTCCTCACAGATTTCCTCAGAAACCACCTTAAACAAACAGAGGAACCAAACTCTCCAGCTCATTTGCTATCGCCTTCTTTGTCTTGTACGTTGTTTCCTGCGATCCACCTGCCTGAGGTGAGAGAGACGAAGACGGGAGAGTGGATAAAGACGAAAGAGGAAGGAGAACACACATCCCAAACGGTTTCTATATATTTCCCCCCAAACGCGGAGCCAGGGCCTGTACACAAACCTATAATTATGATGTGCAACCTCGCTGAGTCCGGCGGGCAGGCCTCGGTCCCCGCAGGCCCCCCAGGCCCTCCGGCTGCCTGCCGGTGCGCCCTGTACCTGTACCTGTACCAGCCGAGGCGGGTGGAGCGGCTAGGGTGCCCACACACGCCAACATAACCTGCACTCATACATGTCCCTTCGTTATGTTCGGTACGTGACGCGATCCGTACGCAATGAACAGAACACCGTGCTCACGTTGTGAACACAAAGTCTTAGGTGATCTCGTAAAGTACAAATTTGTCCATTACTTGATGTGTTTTTCAGCACACCTGAACCAAACGAAATTCTACATAATATGAATCCTTGAAATTTGGGTCTTTTCATGATGAAATTGAAAATTATCCATTAAAGGGATGAAGATACAGTTTTGTCACCTGCAAGCTGCAAAAGATGTGCTCAAAACTGCATCTTCCTATGGATAAAAATTGTTACTTTCACATATGTTTAGTGAATGGATCAGTGTTGTATTGTTTAGTAGTTTTGACAGATTCAAAATGTATAGACCGTAATGCATCATATACATATGGTTAATGTACAGCAGCCATGTCACCCAGGGTCCTAGAGTGTCCAATGTTTCATAGGCCCCTTGGTTACTGTGCCTAGTACTGCTTGTTTTACGTCACTCACCGCGGCCGCTGCGCATTATGGCGAGTTTGCAAGCGGCCCCACACACCTGAATGCGTCACATTACGGGGTGTCTTATAGATCCCGTCCTTTTTTTCTTTACTATACCACTAGACAACATGCGGGTGGGCTTGCGGAGCGTTGGAGCGTGCCTTATTATGGCACCGAGCCGAGGCAGTGGCAGTATGTTCTATAGACCTAAAATCAGTACGAGTTCTTTGCGTAGTACGACTAACGAAAAACGACGTAAGCGTACATTTTGAACATTTGACGCTTTGAGTTTCACGTGGGCACGCGGTGGCCGCACCTTGCTGGCTGGAAGACGCTACCTCGGCACAATATACTTAAACGCACTCATTCGAATGTAGAGTAAATGGCACTTGATTTGGGAACAATTTCACATAGTGGAGTAAAATGGTTACGCTTTATTCAAGTACGACATGCTAAGAGTGCAATATACACTGGAAATTGAAGTGCAATAGGTAAGCCTGGACATCGTAGTGCTCAATAATGCACAAGTGTAGCTGTTCTGGAAATTTTCAGAAGTGTTCAACAGTAAATTTGAACATAACTTAGTGCTTCAAGACCTACGTTCATGTGGGTGCCCCTCGATAACGCCCTGGGAGTCAAGGTGTTTAATAAAGAACTAGGCAGTTTTGGAAAAAGTCATCGCGGCTGATTTGTTGACTACACGCGCCAATAAATGCAGAACCTTTGAAAGTTTTGCGTAACATGAAGTATAAAACACCTAAGTTAATAATAACTGCCGAGGCCGAGACATTTGTTCTTCAAGTGTACTTGATGGCGTAGAAGTTGAGAATTGAGAACAAGAAGCAAGGCTTGGTCCTACTGGCGACGGGCGTGTCCCCCTCTAGATGACATCTTCACACACACGCAGAGGACGGGGCTGGCACAGGTAGCCACTGATAAGGTATGGACGTGAGGCTGGTGCTCCGCAGACTCTGTTCTCACGGGCCCGCCGCAAGGCCCGCCGTGCCGCGGCCCCGGCCTTGGAGCGCACTATGCGTCGCTATGCGATCTGGCCACCCTACTCGTCCCGTCTGCGCCGCTCCACGCCGCGCTGTCAGCCGCGGGCAGCTTGTTTGTTTTCCTGATCATCTCCGAGATCAGCCGCGGCGAGCACGATCAGCCGGCCCATCTCTCACGTAGCGGTGGGCCGGGCGGGCCAGACCGGCCCAGGAGAGCGGCGGCCGCCAGAGCGCGCCAGCGCGCCACTCCATCCACCTGTTGTGCTTGGGGATGTCGCGCGTGTTTCGGTAGGATCCAAGAGAACGACGATGTTTGCGCCTTTGTGAAGTAAGTCTTTAATTGTTTTAAACCGTCTTTACAAAGGTAAAATAATTGAAAAAAAAAATGTTCAAAAGGTTTTTTGCTATTGTACAATGTACTACGGCCCGCCTTCTTAAACCAGTGTGACCTGACTGGGCTTCATAACGTCGACGATACTCTACTTTATTTGAATTTGTGAGAACATAATATTTCAGGTGAAAGTTATAAATCTGTAGAGTGTCGAAAAACGTTGGGTGAATCCTGAGATGAAACTCCAGGATTCCTAATGACGCAGACTGCTGGATTGATGACTGGCTATCCGATATGGGATCGTGGTCTGTTATAACAGGACTGTCTGCAGATAAGAGCGCTGCATCCAAGGAGAGCCGAGCACTACCACAATCTGCCATGGGTTCTCTTCTCTTTACTGACCCAGATCGCAAGGTGATGTTTGCCGGGAGATAGGAGGGCGTCCCAGCCAGGCCAGGAACTGATATTGACTGATGATCCCTCTTGGAAGGGACACATCCCCACGCGCAACAATGGTGATGCGCTCTGGAATATCCGCATTACATTCCGCTGCTGTCAAGTTTTTGAAGAGACGTAGTATTGCGACTAGTAATTGTACAACAAGCGTTTTCTCGCACATATTGGTACTGCGTTAACATTTCACTTCCCTATTTCGTGACTGAGCGGTTTCGTCCCGTTGCCCCTCCCTACCTTCTATACCCTTTAGCCTCCCACTGAAGGCTCCTCCTCCTTCAGGAAATGAACCACGGAGCTTAAAGCCTAAGCAAGTACCTCACTTATACTTTCACTACCCGGCAGGCCACACTAACTCTTTGTCAATTATCCCTCAAAGAGCGTTACGGCCACTCCCGGGCTGATGCTCTCCAGGCCCCTCCTCGGAGCCATTCGTCACAATCCTCTGTGCCTGTTGTGCCTTGGATTTAGTTAAATGCCTCTGTGAATGACTGTTTGAAAACGATACTTCATAATACATTTGAGTGTCGGTACGCAAGCGTGGAGATAGGAGAGAGTCAGGACCTCGGGCCTCGGATTCGTTATTGTCTTACATACATATTTTACAAGTGAACGGGATCCTTTTGCCGTACCTCGTGTTATTTCGATGTGTCGTTTTCCCTGATTCGTGGCTAAAAAGTGCACAGGCTGGAACGCTGCTGCGCTGTTTCTCCAGTTCCATTCACAAGGGCCTTGATGCTCCACCACCCATTTATGTAAGGAAGTAGTGATTTTCTGCCCGAGCTGACTTTCCGCAGATGGCCGGCGCACGACCTTTGTTATTTCTGCCTGGTCGTCTCGTGGCTTACGTTTCGTTTGGCCAAATTACGCCCGCCAGCTGTGGGAGCGGTGCGGTGCCGGCTTGGGTGTCGTACGGCGGACGGCACTTTGACCAGCCTCGCCGCAATCACACATCACCGAGTTAGATTTGGGAAGTGTGTAAAATAATAAAATTCAAGAGAATCAGATACAGGTACGGGGCAGATTTCTCGGAATATTTTGGGAGACGTGTGCCGTGCTGGCGGCTTCATGGTCCAGGTGCCGCGCCGGCATGGCGGCCGGGGGGGAGGGTCCCGGGGGGTCAGGAGCGCACGCAGGAGCGCACGCATGTCCAATATGGCGAGGCGGGACCACACGCTCTGTGCCCTGAGGTAAAAGAGGGAGAAAAGGCTCGGCAAATTGTGTGAACAACTGAATACATATGACTCTGTCAATTAGCACTGCTTAAAGTCCCCAGTGAATCGTCTGCACGCCTCAGATTTTACTCATAACGTTCATAGGTCTCTATACAACACCGAACCTGACTTCCTCCAAGTGTAATTTTCGCATTAAAATTGATTGGCAACTTAAAAAATTTCCAACGATGGGAGTTGAGTATATTCCGCTTAAACTTGCTGTCCGCGTGCCGCCTCCCGCTGTCCAGCTGCTAGCTTCGGTAAATCATCGATTGAAGGGAAGGGCGCCTCGGATCGGAGGCGTCAAGACGATCAATGAGTCCATTACCCCCCAGCAGCACGTGCCGGGCGGCTGCAGCGCGCCGGAGCTGGTCATTCAACATGCGTGTTTTTGCTGCGCGATCACAACACGGAGAGCGACTTATTGGCGTATCGCGACGACGCGACAGTGGCCCGAGCCACGTTGTGTTGATGTTCAAACGTTAAATGAACAAAATGTGTGTGTGTGTGTGTGTGTGTGTGTATATATATGCGCGCGCGGCGGGCGTCAGGTGCCTCGCAATAGCAAACTGCACATTACGTCGGTTCCCTTTTGGTAGGCGGGGCGGTCCAATCCGTTTTTGATGAGGTACAACAGCTGGGGTTATTTTGACAGGAAGCTTTGATGCGCTCGTTAGTGGAAGAGGGCGGTGTTGATGACGGCACCACATTGCGTTTTAGTTTCGCGTTGCGTCTGGCTTGGCGGGCTAGCCACAATTTTTAGTTAGCACTTTCCGTCTGATACTGTTACATTTAATCCTACAGTGCTGCAATACTTCAAGGTGTTGTAACCTTTGTTAAATTTAATATGCATTACTTGAATGAAAGTTTGCCACAATGTGCTCTGCTTTTCTTTAATTTTATTGTCTACTTGGTCCTCTTTTCTGTGCGTGTTTGGGTTTTTCACCCTACAGTATACATCGAATGATCACACATGCT